ACCCTAAGCAATGCCGCCCGCTCCTCTCCGTTCCGCCCCGCTTGTTGCTGGCGGGTACGGGCGTCTGGGGTACTTTTCTGCTGGGAGTTGCTTTTAGGCACGTAATCTGTGGGCCTTGTTTAATTTTTCCTCCCAGTTAGAGTGCCGAAAACTTCCCCCAGTCCCGCCAGTGAGAGGGTTTCCTGGTGATTGGAAACTTCCTCTATTAAGACTCCCTTCCCGGGACGGGTCTCCGTCCGTAGCTCTTTTGACTCCCTTATTATCGTTTATATTTTTTTGTCCTACCTCCTTTCGAAGACAATGGGCTGCTTTTCTGGGCGCCTGATGTCCTCTGCTAGAGATCAGAAGTTGTTTTGTGAAATTTGCTCAGCATTCAAATGTTCTTTCGATGAATTTGTAGGAGAGAAAGTGGTCTCTCCGTCCTATTCCTCCGCCATCTTGGCTCCTCCCCCCTAATTATAGTTTTAAGATTGTAATTCAGCAGTAACATTTTAATGAGGTCTTCTCTATTTTCCTTTCCAGTTATTTAAGGGCTCGATTTTAATAAAGAACAAACAAAACTTCAGACTTTTGTCACTTCTTGAAAAGTGGTTTGGATCACTTTAAATGCCATGACTATTTCTTCATCGCAATTGTCTGTTATATTATAAATGTATAGATATGTACACACCCAGACACACTCAAAATACCTGAGTTATGAATCATGTCAGATTTATATTGTGGCATGTTTTTGTATGTTTTGTATTTACAAACAAAGAAAAAATATAGACAGCATTATTGCAGTAGAAGATTGTCTATAAAAATGGAAATTAGGGAAACTAGGGTTGAATATGTGTTATGTTACTCAGTTATGTCCAACTCTTTGCAACCCAAACGGACTGTAACCTGCCAGACTCCTCTGTTCATGGAATTATCCCAGCAAGAATGTTGGTAGGGCTTGCCATGTTCTTCTCCAGGTGATCTTCTTGATCCCTTCCAGGGATCTAATTCTCATCTCCTATGGCTCCTGCATTGGCAGGTGGAGTCTTTAGCACTCAGTGACCTGGGAAGCCATGTGTTACATGTGAACTGTAAATATAATTTAAATTAAAAATACATATTAAAATTTTAATCTATTATTGCTTTAATGCTATTCAAAGTGACAATGGCCTCTTAATGACAAATAATTGAGAGTGACTTTTGAGTTGTAATACAAAGTTACAATTTTTATTTGTTCTTTTTTCATAGGTTCGGATCATAAAGCTGTAGCTCATTCTAAATCCTCTCCTGAGATTACTCTGAGATTTGAAAGTGGGCCTGGTGCTGTAATACACTCTTTGCTTGCAGAAAAGAATGGATTTCTGCAATGCCATATAGAAAACTTTAGCACCGAGTTTCTTGTGTCTTCTCTTATGAATATTCAACATTTTTTGGAAGATGAAACAGTTGCAACAGTGATGCCAATGAAAATACAAGTTTCTAACACAAAAATAAATTTAAAAGTATGTTAACAAATATTTTTATATTTTCATTTTATAAATGTTCATTTAACCTACTGGACTTCGATTCATGCCTAACAATATGAACTTGTTGGTCCTTGTCAAAATAGAATGAGCAGTTTTCTCACTGTATCAACTAAAGCATATTAAAGATGTATTTCTAACTCATTAAAAATATTTTTGGCAGAAGTAGTATTTAAGAAAATGATTAATTGAAAATGATTGATTTTATCTTTTACTTCAGTAGCAACATGCCAATACTATTTCTCTTTCCCGTAGGATGACAGTCCTCGTAGTAGTACAATATCCCTTGAACCAGCTCCTGTGACTGTTCATATTGATCATCTTGTGGTAGAGAGAAATGATGATGGCTCTTTTCATATCAGAGGTATATACAAAAACAGTTTAAGTGAACACCTACTGAAATTTGAAATTATTTACATGCTGATTATTTTTTGAGCTCATACTTTTTATATACTATTTTATATTTATGTACATATGTAGTAGTAGATGATTGAGGGACCTTTAGTACCTTGTGATAAAATATCATCCATGTATGAACCTCTACCTCAGAAATAACAATCTATAATTGATTTAGTATCTATTCTACAAATGTGTTTTGAATTAAATCCTTCCTGGGTTAATTCACGCTTCTACTTTTCAGTGAACCCTTCCACATAACCTAATGTGACTTCTTAAAATTCTTGAGTACTGATTTGCCATACATTAGTTACTTTATAGTATATTGCTGTGTATTTAGTTCTGCTTAACTTTTGTATCTCCATCCTAATAGGATTTTGGGTCTCTAATGTCAGGACCATGTCTTATAACGTAGTGTGGAAAGAGCTTGAGTTGGTAGACTTAGGTGTTCTAAGTCACTTTATTAATTGAGAGTGAAATGTGAAGGACTGAAAAATGGCAAACTAGAAAACTCTGTAGCCAGAAACCATGAGAGAACTATTGCTGAGGTGGAATCAGTTTGTGGGGAACTCTTGATTGAAGAGTCTTCCTCTCTGGAGTTGGGGAACAGCTACAGCAAGTATAGAAGTCAGACCAAAAAAGATCAAAATGGCAGCGTCATTACTGATAAAAGCTCAGGCAAGGATAGCTTCGGTGTGAGAAGATAGGCTTGCTGTATGGCTGTTGGTCCCAGATACTTTTAAGATCTCCAAACTTCAAGTCTTATCTTGTAAGAAAGCAGAACAAAGTGTTTTAGTACTTCAGAGTACTGAAGAAAAGTTGAGACTTTTAAGGAAATATAATTAATATCCTCAGAGAGATGATAGGATTTTGAACTCAAAACAGGAACAAGCTTTTATGGAAAATAACTACCTAGAAATCATTAAAAATTAAAAACCTCATCTTTGAAGTAAAAAATAGGTCACCTAAAATCTTATCAGCTCTACCTTCAGGAGATACCCAGAGTCAGATCTGAGTCATACGGTATATTGCCTTCTCAGATTGGCTTCTTTTACTAAGTAATATGATTTAAGGTTTCTCCATGTCTTTTTGAGGCTCACTAGCTCATTTCCTCTTACTGCTGAATAATATTCCATTGTCTGATGTAGCACAATTTATTTCACCTACTGTAGGACATCTTGGTTGCTTCCTTATTTTAGCAATCAGAATAAAATTGCTGTAAAGGATTGTGTGGACATAAGTTTTCAGCACCTTATGGCTAAATACAAAGGAGTGTGATTGGTGGGTCTTATGGTCAAGAGTATGTTTAGTTTTGGAAGAAAGTGACTGTACCATTTTACATTCTCACCAGCAGTAAATGAGAATTCTTGTTGCTCTGTGTCTGTGTTTACATTTGGTGTTGTCAATGTTCTGTATTTTGGCCATTCTAAATAGGTGTGTAGTGGTATGCTGTTGTTTTAATTTGCATTTCCCTGATGACAGATTATGTACAGCATCTTTTCATATGCTGATTTGCCATCTGTTTATTTTCTTTTGTGAGGTGCCTATTAAAGTCATTGACCTCAGAGAGAAATTTTATATTGATAAAAGATCTCCCAAAACGTAGCGTAGTCATAAGAAATGTATATATCCATGTAACAGCATAACTGAAAATGTATAAAAGAAAGCTGTTTGAAATAAAGAGAAATGGAATCATAGCATATCGAGATCCTACTGTCATAGAGAAACTTTAACATACCTCTCTCTCTCTCTCTCTCTGTGTGTGTAAGATGTTATGGAAAAATCTGAATGAACTTTATAGTCAACCCAATATCTATATACACACACACACATATATATATGTAAATATAAATTTGAATTTAGCAAACAGGTAATTTCAGATACCCATGAATAAATTTTGCTATCTGCCGCCACATGGATGGACTTGGAGAATATTAAGCTTAGTGAAGTAACTCAGAGAAAAAAAGAAATACTATCTGATTTAACTTACATGTGGAACCTAATGGTACTACAAGTGAGTGGATGTGCAGAACAGAAACAGAGTCACAGTTAACTCTCCCTTTTTATCTCCAGTTACATCTGCCTCCCTCTCCTTTTCTCCCCGTGCTCGTTCTTTCTTCTCCACTCTCTAAATCTCTCCTCCCTTTTTCTCCATCTCATTTTTTTTCCTCTTTCCATATTTCTTTGTCTTCTCTTCTTTCTCTCCCCTCCCCTTTTCTCTCCTCATTTCACCTCCCAATGTTTGAAATAAAATGGATTTCAGAGTTGTTTTGGTCAGTGGTTTTTCATTATTCTTAGGATCCCATGAGTGGTGAGACACATAAGCTAAATAGAATGGGCTCTGGACCCTGTTTTCCTCGTTACAGTCTATGTAACAGCTTTTTTTGTGTGTTTTGTTTTTACTTTATATTAGCATTCTATATCACATTTCATTTAAAAGAAGGGTCTTGCTCTTCTAAGTTTGAAAGCCAAAAGTATATGATAAACTCGTAATCAAGTCACATTTTAGGGCTGTTACTAGTTTTTTGAGTTTGAAAAAGTAGAGGATTTGACTTTTCCATGGCATAGTACTTTAGGACTTCCCTTACAGTCCCTACCAAGCTGAATGGTATGCTAGTCTGACCCAGTATAACAGTTCTTGTATATTTTTTCTAACTAATATTACTAAAACCATAATCAGTACAGGACAATATTGTAACAAGTAGTTTCTGATTTGAGACTTTTGTAATATGAATGCAAGAACAGACCAAAACTCAATTCAGTGACATTTACCCATGTAGATAAAACTATTTCGATACATAAAAAATTGGGGTAAAATTATTAGAATCATAATGAAAGGTAATTTGGCAATATGAACAAAAGCTTTAAAAAGTATTTTTGTTCTTTGACTTAGCTGACACCTTCTGGGAATGTTTTTAAGGGGAAAAATTATGTTGAACAGATATTATTCTGCTGTCTTCTTAATATAATTTGGTTTGATGAACTACCTCTCTGTCATGACAGTGAAGTGTGGTTTTTGTTGAACCTATCATACGACCCTATCACTCAAGTGGGGAAGGGACCCAGGTGGGCCAGTCAGAAGATTTCAGCCCTTGGACACTGAACGATAACATGAATGGACTGTGAACTAAGCATTCTGAGTCTTCTGTGTGTGAATTGAAAATGACACTGAGCGCGAAGGGGTCGCAGGCGTAAAACTTCCTTGTTTGGTCACCAGAGGTTACCTTTGCCATCATATGATGGGACTAACGCAGAAGAAGAAGGGGATCTGAGAAGTAGATAGAGTCAGGGTCCTAAAATGGCACTCCTGGGGACATCAGATGAATTCCAGTGTCTGTCCATACCTGAAGCACCGTCACTTTGACTCTGCTATTATGGAAACAAATACATTTCCTTGTTTAAAAACAAGTTTGACTTGGGCTTCTGTTCACTTGCAACCTAAATGCTCTGACTCTCTGTGATCCAAAAAGTTAGAAAAAAATGTTGATTTGTAAAAATATTTCGTCTTTTGGATAACATTTTAAATGGAACTGTTTTCTTAATTTAATTTTGAATTATTCATTGCAAGTGCTTAGAAAAACAATTGATTTTTGTATATTGATCATATATCCTGCAGATTTGCTAAGCTTGTTCTTTAGCTCTGCGAATTTTTAGTGGATTCTCAATTTTTTTTTTTCCTATGTACAAGATCATGTCATCTGTGAATGGAGATAGTTTTACTTCTTCCTTACTAACCTGGATTCCTTTTATTTCCTTTTCTTGCCTAATTACCTTGCCTGGGACCTCTGGACAGTGTCGAGTAAAAGTATTGAGAGCAAACATCCTTGTCTTATTCTCAATATTAGGGGAAAAACATCCAGTCTTTTACCATTAAGTATGATATTAGCTGTGGAATTTTTGAAAATTTCCTTTAGTAGATTGAGGAACTTCTATTCCTGGTTTGTTCTTTTTATCATGAGAAAGTACTGGATTTTATCAAATATTTTTTTTCTGCATCTATTGAAATGACCATGTGGCTTTTGTTTTATTCTGTTTTGTTGATGTGATATACTACATTAATTTATTTCTTGAATGTTAAATCAATCTTGCACTTCTGGGGTAAATCTCACCTGGCCATGACCTATAATTATTTTTATTATATTGCTGGGTTCAGTTTGCTAATGTTTATTGAGGGGTTTTCTATTCATTTGTATAAGTGTATTGATTTTAGTTTACTTTTTTATGATTTCTTTGGTTTTGGAATCAGGGTAATACTGGTTTTATAGAGTGAGTTAAAAAATGCTCCTCTTCTATTTTTTGGAAGAGTTTGTAAAGATTTGGTATTAATTCTTTTAATGTTTGATAGAATTCACTGTTGAAGCCATATCTGGGCCTGGGCTTTTCTGCAAATAGTTTTTTGTTTTGTTTTTGATTACTGATTTAGTCTGTTTCTTATTGAGTCTGTTTGGGTAGTTTGTGTCTTTGTAGAAGTTTTTCTACCTCATCTGTGTTATCTAATTTATTGGTATACAATTCTTCATAGTATTCCTATATAATTATTTTTATTTCTGTGAAAGGGACAATAGTAATGTCCCTTCTTTCATTTCTGATTCTAGTAATTTTTTTCTTTTTATATCTTTTATTTCTTGGTCTATATAACTAAGGTTTTTTTCAATTTTATTATTCTTTTCAACAGATGAGCTTTTGATTTGGGGTTTGTTAATCTCTCCCATGAATGAGCTTTTTCTTTATTTGACTTCATTGTTTTTTGTTTCATAATAATGTCTTCATACTATGACATACTCATTTTAAATCAGGTTTTCACAAGAGAACTTAAGATGTATCAAGTATTTAGAAATGTTATCTGAATATTTTATTTGTTTGATTAGATTCTCAGATGCTTAACACTAGAAATGATTTGAAAGAAAGTGTCAAAAGTGATTCCATGCTGCTCACCAGTGGAGAATGCAATCTGAAGAAACATCACAGTGTCACTCAAGCCACTCAGACGAGCCCAGGAGCTCCTTGGCCTTCGCAGTCAGCCAGCTTTCCCGAGTGCTTCTTTGACTTTACTAGGGAACAGGTAATGGGAGACCTAGTTCATACTCACTTCAGTAATTAACATAATTATTAGGCATTATTTATTTACTTGTTTAAATCAAGTTTGTTGAGTGCTTGTTATGTACTAGGCAGTTAGTTGATATAGTGTCGAGCAAGGTGTGGCCAATTCCCAGCCTTCACAGATGTTGTCTAATAGGAGATAAAGGAGGGAATGTGGGAGAGTGCCATTTCTGGCATCTGCGAAGGCTAACTGGAGGATATGTACATCTTGATGTCTTATTTTTAAGTTACAAAAGTATTGTAATATTTCAGAACTTTGGAAAAATATTTTAAAACAGCTCTGACAGATTGTAACCTCCTATAGTGCTATAAGTATTTTTTAAAATTTTTCCTCTCAGTCTCTTTCTGTAATTTTTCTAAACAGTTGCTATCCTAGTATATGTACTGTGGGGCTTCCCTGGTGACTCAGACGGTAGAGAATCTGCATGCAGTGGGGGAGACCCAGGTTTAATTCCTGGGTCGGGAAGATCCCCTGGAGAAGGAAAGAGCAACCCACTGCAGTATTCTTGCCTGGAGAGCTCCATGGATAGAGGAGCCTGGCGGGCTACAGTCCGTGGGGTCGCAGAGTCTGATACGGCTGATGGACTAACACTTTCACACTTATTTATACTGTACTTTTTGCTTAACGTTGTTTGACGAATGTTTTCCATATTGCTGCGTATGCTTCATCTATTTTATTTTATATTTATTGAAGTATAGTCACTGCTTCATATTTATTGTTAATGGCAGATTAATATGGGTGTGGCTATATTATCATTTCTAAAGGTTACTCTTAACATTTGTTAATATTTGAGCTGCTTCTTATTTTTTGCTCTTATATAATTCTATCCAGCAGAATTTTAATTCTCTATGATGAAACTACAGAAAGAGTTTATTCATCTATTTAGCAGGATTTGTTAGATGTCAGCTTTAAGCTAAGGATATAGAATTGGAAGAGAATACCACTCCCTATCTATTGAGGATCTCAAAATTGAATGGGAAAGTAGAAATGTGTAAACAGTAGTCACAGCATACATGTGTTATATGTACTAGAGTTTAGGGAAATATGGTAAAATTTGGTCTGTGAGACAGGCATTCTTAAGCTGCAGCTAAAAGAAATCTGAGAACTCTTTGAAGTTTAATGCATATATTTTAATGTATCTGTGTGAATACTTTTTCCTGTGGAGAAGGTTTTATCACATTTTCCTGATTAGGGATTAGGGAATGGTTCTAAGAGGATTGAACTGAGTCTTAATGAGAGAAGATCTATTGACATCTAGATGAAGATGTCCAGTGAGATCTTCAGAATGTGGGTCTGGAGCTCAAGAGAGGCTTGCCCTATATCAGACTATACATGATTGTTGGAGCCGCAGGAGTAGAAGAGAAAATCTGAGAGAGTGACTCAAGTGATAAGAGAAGACAGCCAATTATGGATTTTAATAGAATGCAAAAAATTTAAGAGTTCTTAAGCATCAGAGGGAAAGATGAAAAGTTCATACGTAGAGCGGGGTAAACAAGAAATTTCTGTGACATAAAAGGTGAAAGAGGAGAGAGGCTTAGCAAGGAGGAGTGAGGTCAGCAGCATCTTAAGGGAAATTGAAATTAAACAAAATCACTATTAGATTTGGAACTTAGGAGTTAATTCGTGTTTTAAATTGCTGGGTCGAAACTTATGGACATTTGTGAGTGCTTGGTTTGTGTTTCCTAATAACTTCTCAGAGCAATTTTCAGATTAAGCGCACCCTCACCAGCATTGGATAATGTTGCTGACTTGTGGGTCGCACTTTTAGATACTGTATAAATAGTCTGTATTTCCTAAAAATGGTTATATTTTCTTATTTTCCAAATTTATCATTTCAGCTCATGGAAGAGAATGAATCACTTAAACAAGAATTGGCTAAAGCTAAAACGGCTCTTGCAGAAGCTCACTTAGAAAAAGATGCTCTTCTCCATCAGTTGAATATCAGGAGTGGCAGCCAGAAACTCAAGTTATAGCTTTGGAGTGTGGAGGTTATATTTATAATGTGATGTTACCAATTAATGGGAAACTTTCCTTTTCATAAAAAGACAATAAAATGAAATAGAATGTGATGAAGTGGTGACTATTCCAAAACCAGTTTAGAAAATACTAGGTACGGGCATTACAATCTTTTGGTTGTTTTGTGTTTTAGGGTTTAACCCTCTTTTAAACTGGTGTGATACAGGGGAAGTCAGTGCTTACTGTTAAGATAATTCTATGCCTCATGAACAGAAGATGTCATTTCCTAATTTTGATATTACATTATAGACATTTTTTAAAAAGAAAAATGAAAATCTATTGTGTTCTCACAGATTGCTGAATTTATTTATCACTTTGTTAATAATTTGCTAATATTTACAGAGATTCAGATGCTTTTAGGGCTAATGTAAAATAAAAGGAGGCATACATTTTAAGTATTACTAAAATTATGTACTTAAATGTATAACTGTTACTGTAAAAAAAATCCAATCAAATTAATAAATTATCTAATTGCTGAGTTTGAAAATTCTGGAAAATCATCACCCTACGGAACACAGGCGGTAACTTTAAAATGTGAAAAAGAATCATTTTAAGTGATGGGTAAGCTGTATATGTTGAAGCTATAGTTTTCAACAAAGATGGCACAAATGTTAAAATAAAAAGCACAAACTGTGAAAAAGCAAAGCATTAGCGTATATGGCCAACTGATTTAAAAAGCATTACTTGTACATTCCTTTAAACATGTATTGTTAGAAGTCAAAGAGTAATTTAACTATCCTGCTAAATTTGGCAGCATTTGTAACTATAAGAATTTTAATTAATACTATTTATATTATTTCTTTATCTTCATGTTTCCTCTATTTAAGGAGGGGAATGTTTTCAGAGAATTTTCTTTTCACATACATAAAATGATTTCATACCGTTCCTACAGCATCTTAACAGTTGGTTGTTTGCAGACGTCAAATTTATAATGCTAGTTTTGACTAACGTTCTGTGTGACTTATATATTGAAATAAGAATAACTGGTAAATTTTGAATTCTATTTTCTAGGGATTGTTAAGGTTGAAACCAACATGAGAGAGTCTCAATCATGCATTATGAAAAAAAGTTTATGAGTATTTAAGAAACAGAGGCTTTTAACAATTTAAAATATATTTCTGGTAGAATTAAACTAAGTGGGGTCTATTTTAAAATTCACATTCTTAAACATAAATATATTCAAGATAGAACTGAAACAGCTGTACTGCTCTTTATTTAAGTTACTTGAAAATGTTCAAATTTTCAACCACATTAGGATACTTTATGGTGCTTTGCTTGTTTGGCATGACTTATATAGCCATCCTGTATCTAAATACTTGGAAATATGTTTCGTTTTATGTTAAGTGAGAGTGATTTTAGATTTTATTGAAAATGGTACTGGCTTTTTTTTTTGTCTTTAATGTCCATTTTCTTTAACATTGTTTAAAAATACAGGCCATGCTTTGGGAGCTAAGGATATAGCAAAGAACAAGTTAAATTGTTATTATTTTACCTCAGAGTATTTTAAAAATCATGTTAAACCATTTTAATCTAAGACTGTTGTATAGTTTTAGATTAAAAGCAAAGGTCTAATTAAATATTTTGAATGTATGGCTTATATCCTTAGTAGAGTACTTTTGATCTATAGGTATATATTCAACAAAAGCAGTCTCTATTATAGAAAAGCAGGATTGATGGTACATGAACTTCTCTAGAACTTGCAATGTTTTTCAGATTTGACATATTTGCTCCATATGAACTTTAAATTTATGATGTATTATAATTACTTACTGTTATAGATCCTGGATGTTTTTCTTATTTTCAATTTTATTTGGCCATCTCAAGAAAATCATATAAACAGTAGAGATAGTAATTAATATGAAGTTGAATATTCTATATGCTTTGTTAGATTTTTAAAACTTTATAGTGATTACTATTTTTATAGAGATTTAAAATTCATAAATCATTTCCAAAAACATTGTATAATTCCCACAACAAACCTGGGAGGTAGGTGTTATTTACATTTTAAAAGTTTAATAAAGATCTTATGGCTCAGAAAGAACAAATGACTTGACTGAAATCACAATTAATAACCTGCTCTTTTCACTGAAATCCCAATTATATGTTTTTATTTTACCTTATTCCTTATTTCACATATTTTTCCAGAGGTAGGGAAAGGAATCACTTATTGGTCATTTATCTTTTTAAGATGAATATAATGCTTTGAAAAGATGTGTGTGTATATAAAAACTACTTGAAAAATAAGGGGAGAATTTTGTTTAAGTTAGTCTCAATCTTTTTTGCTGTATGAGAAATATAAGAGTCAACCTGTAATAAACTTATCAGAGTTTTTAAATGACCATAAATTAAAATTAAAGTTGCCTTGTCTTTGCTAAATCTGTAGCAGAGATGTTAGTAATCAGGGGAAGAAAATTATATTAGTGTTTTTCTTTTAAATTTCATATATACAAAAAACATATTCTTGGTATTGTATTTTTATCTTTTCTCATTATAGAGTTCAAAAGATCACCATGTGACACTAGTTGTAATGAAACATTATTTAAGCCATGTAAGAATAGCTTTATATGATTGCAGGCAAATATATGTGACAAAATTAATCAGAAACTTCTTTTGGGTTTTTGTTGTAGTTATTTTTATTCAGTACTTGTCAATACAAGGGTTAAATATTCCTCTTTAAGTTTTTATTAATGTATCCAATCTAAGGTTCCACCATCACAGTGGTTCCCAAGTTAGTAACCTAGAGTTTCCTCTCTCTAACCAGCCCCCCCAATCAATTCATTACCACATCCTTTCATTTTACCTAGTAAATTTGTCTACTTCTCTTCATTTACCACCTTTCTAATCTAAGCTAACATTAGTACTCTTTGCCTGTAGTTACTTTGGTAGCCTCCTAATTGGTCTTCCTAAGCTACTCTGACCTTTCTGATTTATTTTTATACTGCAGGCAGAGTTCTCTCTCTCTCTTTTTTTAAGTGCAGTTTTAATCAAGGTAACCCACCTAACCCTAGATGGAAACAAAAATATTTTATGTTACCTATGAGATCAGTTACTAGGGCTGCTGTTTATAATTCTGAACATTGAAAGAGTTAGTATCTCAAAAACATTAAAGCAGTGACTGGCTCATCACCTTGAAAGCATTTAAGAGAGGTTAGTTATTACTACTTCTTAGGTTCATTGAGCTCCTTGTTTCACTTACTTTGTATTTGACTCTTATTGCACTTTAAATATCTGAAATTAGTGAGAATTAAAGCGCTTCTTCCACCAAAGGAACCTTTGTTCATGCTCTTCTCTTGCTTGAAATACCTTCATCACTTAGTTAACTCCTATTTGTCTTTCAGATCTCAGCTCATTCATCACTTCCTCAGGGAAGCATTCCCTAATTTTTTTCAGAGTAAGAAAAAAATTGCATTATCATGTGACCTCTACTTAATGTTGAACACCTTTGTAACTTTATATGCATTTGTTTGGTTGTAGACTGTAAACTCCATGCAGACAGGAATTGTGTGTTTGTGTCATTGTTCAACTTTGTATTCTTTGTCCCTCATGCAGTGCCCTGCACGTAGTAGTTCTCAATAAACTTGTTGAAATAATAAAATAATGAATGAGGTATCGAGGATGTTTTTCAGGTATTGAGTTCTTCCTCTCAGTTGGATTGAGGGGAGAGGAAACATTAGACATAAGAGTAGGAGGTGGTAGTTATTAAAAGTGGCAGACTCCTTGTGTCCATAGAGAAGAAAAAAGATGGAGAATGGAGAAATTTGCTCTTTTACGCTCTTCTGAGTTTTGAGTATCTGAAATTCTACTTAATTTATCACAAATCATCACAGAACTGAAAATTAGCACATCACTTCATACAACTGCCAGTGCCAGGATGTCATGTGGCTTTGATTGTAGCATATGGTGGTGTGGCTGTTGAGATCTGCCAGTCCTGTTAGCTAAACAGAATGAAAGTAAGGCCAAAAGAGTAGTGGCTGAAATAGTTTTCAGTTTTTAGAAATTGTTACCTAAGATCAGTTGTGCCTTATTTCTTAAGGTATGAACAGTCTCATTTGACCTTGCACCCAGGGATACTGAAGAGAGTAAATTTTGAGCTATATTTCAATTTCCTTTTAGGATAAAATATGAAAAGTTGGAATCATACAGGATGCATAGAAATACTAAAGCAGTAATGTTTTTAAAACACCAATTTCATTAAATTATGATACTTAATATTTAAAAAAATTTTGCTACTTTTTTGAGAAGTACACAAATTAAGGTAATATGTAGCAAAAATGTATGTGTGGTGGTTTTTAGAAAGCATTAGATATTATCCAATGGATCATTGTACAGTGGAGGGAAATTCATGTTGTTACAGTATTAAAATTCGGCATAAGTGTCGCCAACACTCCTGTGTAGTTTTGGTAGGTCTGAGAATTTGAAACTCTTTTAGGAGGATAATTTTAAGAAATATTAATATGAAATCAACTAAATGTCTTTTTTTTCCATTTGTATAATGTGATAGTTTTTTGGTCTTAGAAGAAAAAGTATCACTGAGTCAGCAAGAGGAGTAATAGGTTTTAAAAGATTTTGAAACCATTTAAATAAAAAGATGATACTAAATAACTTATACATTAGATTTTTTTTTTCATTTTATTCAATGGTAAGTAAAATTTCTCATTCTTGACTTTAATTCTTCACTTTTATGTGAAGACATATTTGATGGTTTAGGTGAAGGAATATACTTGAGCATTTTGGAGGTTAGGATTATACAGTGAGGTGATTAACCTTTTTTCAGCCACTTAGAATTGTTTTATTGATGTAACAAAAAACTCAAGATACTGAATCACAACTATCAAGACTTAAGAATTGCAAAAATAAGAGGGCACATGACTAAGGAATAAGTACAGATCAAAATTACCCTTGAAGGGTATAGGTGAAATAAATGCATTAGGGATCTGATCAAAGTCAAATTTCTTTTCACAATACTTAAAATAACTCCAATTAAAATATACATAGTATAGTCAGGGCAGAAGTTTAAAAAGTAACCATAGGGAGCAAATGCAGTGTCAGGCAATAATGTTGGTGGCCCTTACCGAAGCTGCAGCTGCTTCCATATAGCTGCTGTGGTCACAAAGGAGCCCAAAGGGACAGTTTTCCTTGACGGTCGCCGTTCTGTTTGCTGTAACTGATCTGCAACATTTCAGGAAAAGGCAGTTCCCATTGTACTTGCCGTTTCTCGGGTACAACCAGAGATCTTTATTAGAACTGACAACGTTTTCAGAGGCCACCAGAAATGTTCCATTGGTGGGGTCTCACATGCAAGAATCAGGTGTTTGAGAGGTGGCTTGCAGAGGCCAAGAACCAGTATGGAGATGCAGATATGGTTGTGCCAGAAGAAGATTCCAGGATGACTGAAGTTGACCTTTCTGGTGAGTGAAGAGGACATGACAGTGATGGAACATGAGCCTTAGGGCCTGGTTGCCCCCAGTGTTTTAACTGGCAGTGCTTGATACTGAAGTAACTGAAAATACCAGCTTGTCGCTGGAGCCGTGCTTTCAGAATAAGACCTGTTGCCGGTAAAGCTGTCTTCGTCTCTGTGGATCTACAGAGTTGGGAGAGAAACAAAAAGGCAAATGAAGAGATGGGGAGCACTTTCAGGTGGAGACGGCTGTTTTTTTGGTGATGCTGCTACCTGGCATATAAATGACTAATAAAAGATTCATGGTTGTAAAAAAAAAAAAAGAATGTTGAACAGAATTCCAGTCACTAAGAAAGAAATCTATGACAAGAAATTCACTTGGTGTGTCATATGAACTGAAGTCTAAAGAACAAAATGAAAACGGACAGTCTTCAACTCAGTATGCAAAGATTGGCACATACGTACAGAAGTTCAGTTCTTCCATAAATGATTTACCCACAAATGTATATCTGTAGGGATCTTAAGATTCCAATTTCTACGGAAAAGTGAGTCAGGACTTTTCCAATAGCTTGCTGCTATTGGAGAAATTTTATTGGCACAGCAATAATATTGTGGCATCTTAGCATTTTGTCTTAAATACAGTACGTTTGCTTCATAATTCTTAATAGTGTATGTAGCATTGTGATAATCATTTGGTGCTTTCTTCACTCAGGTTTATTTTCACTTTCTCCATTCCTTGCTGTTGAATAAGAGGTTTTCTGTATGATGCATTAGAACTATGAAGGCAAGGCAAAAGAGTTCTGAAGAGGGAAACAATAAGCAGGCTAAGCAACTTTTTAGTTTCCTTTTTCTGTAAATTTACAGAACTTTAGGCATTGCCGTATTCTAAATATAAAAACATGCCAATGCCAAGTATATCTTTTAAAAGTGTAGATATTTGCTGCATTAGCACAGATATTTAAGAGTAACTGTAATCATATGTGTAAGCCTTTCCTATAATTTTAGTGGGGGTCCAGTTAATACTTCACAATTCTTACATGCTTATTAAGTCCTCTACCCCACTTTTTGCCTTCAGAATTCAGTGTCTTGTTAATATATTTTGCTGAGTCAGCTTCTGCTTTGATTTTGTTTTGATTCACTTTTTGTGCAGTTCCATTAATATGCCCAGAGGCCATTTGTGTGAACATTTTAGAAACTGAAGCACAGATAATATAAAAATGTACACTGATGACTTTATTTATTTTTAAAAGTAAAATTCCTTTTCGGAAATTCCTCATCAGATGTGCCCTCATGTCTCTTACTGAAGTATATCACACTCCTGTCAAAACCACCCTGGTTAACATTAGGACTCTGCCTGCAGGGAAGCGGTAGATTTGAGTGGGGAACCAGCAGTTGACTCAACTGAATACTTACTACCATGTGGTCTGACTGATGAAAACTATAATGGGGTTTATTAACCCAAACCATGTTTAAAACTATTACATGGCAGGCATTGAGTCTGGTATTAGGATACCAGCTACCTGTCCTTGCCCACATGGATTAAATCTCCCACACAGGGAGCTAGACAAGTAAATTTCAATTTTAATATGATGAGTTAAATGCCACGATAGGTAAGTACATGTAACCTACTGTTGGGGAATCAAAGGCTTTGCAGAGGAGATGATATCTAAGCTAAAGATGAAAGATGTGTTTATTAACCAGAATGATAAGGTTCTAGGCAGAGAACAGGTTGGAGAGAAGAGTATGTATTGGAGCATGGTTAATGCCAGCAGAACTGCAACTACTGGTCCAGATACTGTTTCTTTTGGGATAATCTAATGGTATGTTTGGGGCTTCCCAGGGGGCTCAGTGGGTAAAGAATCCACCTGCAATGCAGGAGACACAGAAGACATGGGTTCAATCTCTGGGTTAGGAAGATTCCTTGGAGGAGGGCACGGCAACCCACTCCAGTGTTCTTGCCTGGAGAATCCCATGGACAGAGGAGCCTTTCTATAATTAAATGATTTTAATACCACTTCTCGGCCTTTTGGCTAAGATCAAGTATAATTAAATGATTTTATTAACCATATGACTTGATCAGAGTCAGCACATTTACTTCCAAATACCCAAGCTCACAAGTTGGTTCAATATTTGTATTTAACAATCCAGTGCTTAGTTACCTTTCTTAATTGCTCCCAAATTCCCAAACTGCCTTGAATGACCAGACCGTTTGATCTTTTCATTATCAAATCATTGTATTAGAGTGGTTTGACACCCTTGACAACTTTGTTTTTTCTCTTTCTAACCCGTTTTTGGTGATAGCCTATTAATACTATTTTTTTTAACCAAAGTATAATTGATTTACAATATTTTAGGTGTACAGTATAATGATTAAATATTTTTATAGATTTTACTCCATTTAAATTTACTATAAAATAATGGCTGTGCTGTACAGTGTATCCTATAATATACCCCTGTCTTTTCCATACCCCGTTCCCTCTCCCAACTGCTAACCACTAGTTTGTTCTCTGTATCTGTGAGTCTGTTTCTGTTTGTTATATAAAATATGTTCATTTGCTTTATTTTTTAGATTCCACATATTAGCAATAACAAAGTATTTTTGTCTTACTTATTTTATCATATTTTATTAAGCACAATACTCTCTCAGTCCATCCAGGAATACTATTAAGCTTCCTTTTATAGTATGCATGTTGTCTCCATGATCAAAAATATGTGAAAGCTGGGACTTGTCTGGTGGTTCAGTAGTTAAGACTCTGCATTTCACTGCAGGGGGCATGGGTTGGATCCCTGGTCAGGGAACTTAAGATCCCGTATACTGTGTAGCATGGCAAAAAAAAAAAGTGAAAGTTATGTATTCCTTTCCTCTTTATAGTGTGCTGATGTCATCTGTTATTACGCTGACCTGTTTCACCCTCTGCATTAGTTTCCCACTGTTGCCATAAGAAGCTACGCATTATTTCACAGTTCAGTAGGTACAGTGTGGTTCAGTAGGAGTTCACACTTCTGAGAGTCACAAGAATCTGAAATCAAGGTGTTAGTCGGGTTGCATTCTTTTCTGGAGGTTCTCGGTAATGCTTTGAAGTCGTTCAGTTGGCCAACGTCAGTTCCTTGCGGTTTGGAGGTTCCATTTCTTTGCTGGTTGTCATCCTTAACTGGAAATTGTTCTTGACATCCAAGATCCACCCATATCCTTTAGCTTG